TTAGGGAAATTGGTAAGGAGAAAATAAAGCACAAATTTATTTAAATAATGAACGAGTCACTTTATTGCAACGCCAGTACACGTTTCAAAAGATGGAACTATTCACGAAGATATGTCTGACAATATCGCGTGCACCGGCTAAATTTAGTACAATGAATGCTAAATCTTTGAATATTCAGATCTGTCGATCTAATAAGTAGATTATTCTTATTATTACACATTATAATAACAAATATTTTAATTACAATTCTATACTAAGTAAGGTACATACATAGATACAAGATTTATACTGCTGCGCAATGGCAGTCTGGGACTATTTACAATTTTCGCAAACTAAGGCAGATCTTCAGGGTGAAATTTTAAGAAAACAAGATTCACTTAATATTATCTTTTATTTGTTTTATACCATACTACTTTCAAACCCTCATTTGAAAGTATTTTAAAATATTTGGAAACATAATGTCTACTTTGATAATTTTTGAATAATTTATACAAATTCACTCATTCACTCATTAAGCCTAATGCAGTTTAAAGAATAATAATTTAAGAATAAAATATAATTACAAGGAATTTAATACTAAATAAATAATACTTTTTTAGTTTCCAAACATTGAAACGACTGCGAACATTTTTTTTTCACATTACAGTAGACTCCCTCTTAACCGGCCGTCGTATTAACCGGCCACTCCCCCTTCCTATTTCTTTGCGTACGAGACGATCATCAAGCGCCGCTTGATGATCTCTTAATGATGAATGATGATAAACTGATGAAGACGGGTCTCAATTTTAAAATGCTTACAGAAAAAACATTTTTGAGAAGTCATGAAAAATCGGCTTCTGAATTGAAAAAGAATAAAGAGCGCATTACAATTGCTGTTTGTTCAAATGCAGCAGGAACACACAAAATGCCTCCTTTCGCTGTTGGTAAGTTCGCTAAACCGCGTGCATTAAAAATTTACATCCATCATCCCTTCCCGTATTCTACAGATCACAAAAATCAGCACGGATGAGCGCTGATTTATTCAAAGAATGGTTTGAGCGTGAATTTGTTCCGAGAGTAAAGCGCCACCTGAAGAGCGCAAATCTTCCCACTAAAGCAGTCCTACTCCTATTCTCCTAATTTACATGTTAGCTTTCGCCTTTCAAGAAATTCCTGCTTCTACTTTCGTTAAGTCTTGGCGAAAACTTTGGACCAACATTGAGGATAATTCTACCACCATTCTTCAAGATCTCCAAACGTTATCCGAAAATGTCCAAGTGCAGACCGAAGATATTAAAGAATGGATGAACTATCACGAGGAACTTGAAAACGAATTTTTGACAGACGACGAAATAATTACACTAGCAACACATAAGCCCTATGAGGAGGACTGATGATAATGATTTTGACGGAAAGGAAAAGGTCGGCCACACCGAAGCGAGGGCTGTAATGGAGGTGGCATTGAAGTATATTGGGTATAACAACCTGGGTAATCTTCAATAGACGCCTTGGTTTTAAAAAATTGAGAGATATAGCTTTCAAAAATTCACTTAATGTCAAGAAACAGAAGAAAGTTACCGATTTTTTTAAAACAAGTTTGTAAAATATTTAAATATGTATACATGTACATAGAAATAAATAGTATTTTTGAACTGTATACTTCGTGATCTTTATTAATATACACCTTCCTGTACATGTGTTTGATATATGTATGCATGTACTTGATTTTTCTCATGAAAATGCCTGCACATCGGATTAACCGGCCATTTGGTCAACCGGCCAGCTCTGGTCCCGACGTGACCGGTTAAGAGGGAGTCTACTGTATTAAAATGTGTAATAAGTTTCAAATTATAGCGAAGCTGTACGAATTGGAAAAATTCTGAAAAGAAAAAACAATCTATGAATCTTGTTTTCGTTAATTTTTCCATATATTCAGTGCCATAAACTAAGGAACCAAAAGGTATATATCACATTTACTGTACAGCACACTAAGGAGACAAGTGTCCGTTATTGTCCACATGGCTTTTGCACACTCAAAGAGGTAGATCAAGGCCACAATCCTGCCGCCACTAAAGGAGGTCAGGCCTTATTCAAGGCCACAGGTTTTATTGGAGTCTCCGACCCAGATGATAAAGAGGATGTAGAAGACGGTGACATTCTCGATGCAGTGGTCAGGCCGAGGGGAAGACTGCTAGCGCTAGACGTGGCTGCAGCGACACTTGCTTTGGTAAAAATGGAAGGAGTGGATTGGGCAACACTTGCACTAGCGTTTTGCGCTGCTATTAGGTTAGCCCCTAAGGTTCTTTGGTAAGTTTCCAGGAGGGTGGCATCAGGAGATCCTCCACTAGCTGCTGCCAAGTGTTGCGCAGCCGCAGGGTTATAAAGACTTCTGTAAAAATCATGTGGTCGGGCATACGGTGCCGTATGAAGTCCAGGTGGAGGTAATCTTGTACCCAAAGGGGGTACTAATCTTCCTGCCGCTGTGGAGTACAAGGTAGAAGCTGCGGAATGTGGGGGTCCATCGCTTTCTTTACTTGCCATGTCCGCCAATGACCAAATTCGCGGTTTAGTTGAAACGGAGGCGGAAAGTTGAGGTGGAGAACCCGATGATCTAGGTGGTAAGAAGGCAGGATGAGGTGGTCTTTCGTAAATTTCAGGACTGTCAGGTCCGCTATCAGGTCTCGATTCGCTCCATTCGCTAGCTGTATCCGCTGCTAAACGCGAATGAGGTGGTCGGTCACCATCTTCACTAGAAGCCGTACCAGAGTCTTTGGAATCTGAAACAACGAAAAAAAAACATTAACTATATAAATAATAAATTAAATTTTTAATATTACTGTGTAAAAACGTAAATGAAGTTATTCAAAACACATAAAAAGACTGATATCCAATTAAAGGTTACTCCACAAATAAAATGTGTATTGAATAAAGAAAAAAAGAGTTCGTACGAATAATGAGGACAGGTTTATATTATTTCCAAGTATAAATTATTTCCGTTTCTAATAGCTATAACGAAGTAAACAATCTATTCTTGAAATCAGTGATAATTCTTATAAACCCATTTCGGTTTTAGTGGTCTTTTTACGATTAATAAAATAAAAAGCAGTTTATTCATACATCTTAATTTAAGCAAATTCGGAATAATTTTCATTTTATTTTTGTTTAACAGTAGGTAACGAAAGAAATTAAATACGGTAAAACCGGATAACCAGTATATTTAAATATTAATAAATATTTTTAAAAATTATTATAATACTTTCACATGAAAATTATATTCAAAAAACTTATATAATACTAATGTCCATTGAGACAGCTTACATAATTTATTTTGAAAAACAGAATAAATGTAGTTGTCAAATTAGTGAGATAATTATTTGTCTATTAGCCCATTTTCTTTCGCTGAAGATTTCAGAAATGTATTTTTCGCATTCTGTACCGTTTGACCCTAAAATTGACATACAACAAATAAAATACGCTATAACATAACAATATTTTAATTTGTTATCATCTAATTATCCTATATCGTTAATAATAACAGATACTTGAGACTTTTCTTCTTCTTGTAGTGGTTTCTGATGTTCGCGACCATCATGGCAATCTGTACCTTGCACATTGCTGCTCTGAAAAGATTGATGATTGTTGTGTTGAACTACGTATGTGGAGTATTCCACCAAGAAATCCTTTGCCTTCCTGGGCCTCGTTTTTCTTCCACCTTTCATTGTAAAACTAATTGCAACAATCCATATCTTTTGCTGTTCCTCATAATGTTAAGTATTCGATTTTGGCTGTTTTCATTGTGGGCAACAGCTCTTTTTCTTTTTGTATTCTTAATAAAACCTCCGAGTTAGCAATGAGGTCGCTAGCATATATCTTTAGGATTCGACGATAACGCCACATTTCAAAAATCTTAATTTACTTGAGATCTTCTAAATTCAGACGATCAAGCCTGACGAGAAATCCTCTTAATATCTTGTTGAAAATAATATATAATCAAAATATGTAAAATAATGAGACTCAGTGAGAGTCCATGAGAGAGAAAGAAGCCCATGTAATCACAATTCGCAAACCATGAAAAAACAGCATTTTCCACAGAACTACAGGTCAATAAGCTTACTGTTAGCAGTCAGCAAAATTACAGTTCGAGTAACAACTTTCAAAGGTTCGGAAGGAAAAACAGCAAGACTTTACAGGTTTTCACCGAAGAGCCTAACTCGTGATTTAGATCAAGGTACCAGGCATTTAAAGATAGTTAGTAAACCGTGCAACCTTCCTCAGACGTAAGGCAACGCATTCGACAGAGTCCCTGTCATGAAGGGACTCACGTTCACATCCCATGTTACATGAACCGTACAGAGAAGGCCAAAAATATGTACAAGCCAATATCAAATTTCCTAACTAAGAACACGATCAAATTAACAGTTCAGAAGAACATGACTCCATCAACAGTAGCTATACTGCCCATTTTTGACCGTTATCACCTTTCTCAATCATAAAAGACAGACCTTAGTCCCCACATACGAGAGATGGGTACGTCATTGCGATGGTTACCTGTTGCGGTCCACGGGAATTAGTTTACAGGATCTCGCACGTATCTAGGAAGCCCATTTTTTAATTTTTACCTTCGTTTTTTTATACGGCTTCCTTTTACGTAAAAGTGACGTTGCCGTGGTATGTATGTTGTACTAGCTTAGAATAGCTAAGATTAAAATTAAAATATCAAAATATTTTACAAAATGAAAAATATAGGAATACAGGTTTTTTGAATAAAATGGATTATGATCGTATTATCGAAAAATTAAGAAGTCTTTTTTTTTAATTTGCTTTTTATTTTAAATCCTTTTTCATATTAAATAACGATAAACAATGATAAAGAATTAAGTTAATATTGGGTGGTGGAAGCCCCATTCTTGTCAATACAATTTTGCAATAGTTTTGTTCTAGCATTAGCACCAATCCCCTCATGTTTAGTTACACAGCTCTTAACTTGCTCTAATGCTCTATTGCTCCCTTTATTCAATTCA